GCGACCATGAGGCTCTCAAGAGAGACATGTTGGGGAGGCGGCAATGCTCCCCACCAAAATCGGCGCGAACGGGCTCGTGAGATCAGCCAGGGTGGCTCCCCCTTGGGGCTCCCAAATGCGTTTTGTGACCATGAGGCTCTCAAGAGATACATGTTGGGGAGGCCAAACGGCAATTCTAGCTGAGGCGTCCCACCAAAATCGGCGCGAACGGGCTCGTGAGATCAGCCAGGGTGGCTCCCCCTTGGGGCTCCCAAATGATGCCCCTGGCAGCGTTTTGCGACCATGAGGCTCTCAAGAGATACATGTTGGGGGCCAAACGGCAATTCTAGCTGAGACGTCCCACCAAAATCGGCGCGAACGGGCTCGTGAGATCAGCCAGGGTGGCTCCCCCTTGGGGCTCCCAAATGATGCCCCTGGCAGCGTTTTGTGACCATGAGGCTCTCAAGAGAGACATGTTGGGGAGGCCAAACGGCAATTTTAGCTGAGACGTCCCACCAAAATCGGCGCGAACGGGCTCGTGAGATCAGCCAGGGTGGCTCCCCCTTGGGGCTCCCAAGTGATGCCCCTGGCAGCGTTTTGTGATCATGAGAGAGTGTGAGTGTGAGTGAATGTGGCTGTGAGTGAGTCTGAGTGAGAGTGAGTCTCATCTTATCTTATCGAGTCCTTTCTTATCTTACCTTTATTACCCTCTACCTTATCTTATCTTGAAATCTCTTATCTTGTCTTAGCTTATCTTATATCAACTCATCTTATCGCATCATATCTTGTATTATCTTATTACTGCATAGGCTGTCTTATATTGTCTATTATCCAACCTTGTCATATATCTTATCTTACCTTATCATATATTGTGCTATCTTATCTTATCTTGTAGTATATTATCTTGTCTTGTCTTATCTGGTGATTATCATTGGGAGGAGGGAGGCGCGAGCGGGAGGAAGAAGGAGGAGGAGGAGTGGGAGGCGTCAGAGTAATAACAAGAACCCCAATCCTTAGGATATGGGGAATAACAAGAACCCCAATCCTTAGGATATGGGGAAAAACAATGTTCTTAGGACAGAAGCCCGATGTGTTAAACCAATACGGTCCTAGCCAGAAATGCTCCAAAGACACTTCGTAGGAACCACAAAAGGTTCTTAGAACATTCTTTGGTGGGGCTATAGGCGAGCCGGGACGCTTCGCCACTGCTTGACAAAAGGGGAGGGGCGCGCAGCTCTCAGGCCAGGCTGGCCCAGCTGGGCTCCATGCCGGAAGCGGCCGGCCTATTCGGGCCGTGGTGCGGTTCCAGCAGGCTCATGTGGCGATGCTTGCAGTTCTGGGGGGAGGTCGCTTCCTTGCTGTGGTCGTCCTCGCCCAGCAGGCCTCCGACAGGAAGCCCGGCACGGCGCAGGTGCTTCGCGTAGACGTTGAGGTAACGGAACCCCTCCATCGTACGTCCGTGAACGACTTTGAGGTCCACCCTCCCAAACTGCATCCACCTGGGATCCTCTGTGATGGCCCCTGCTGCGCGGTACCTGGGGAAACAGAGATGCCCACACCGCTACTCCCCAGATCTCTCCCGGGGAGCGTTCCGACCAGAGTCTCGAGGCGAATCCAGCAATGGCGACGAGGGCCTCCCTGGAGGCCCAAAAAGGTGGAACCCGAGAGGAGGGTAGCGGTATGGGTACCTTTTCCTCCTCTGGGTACCGGAGGCCACCAATCTGCTTTGCCTCCGCCCACTTTCCCGTGAGGTTCAGCTCCTGGAAGTACATGTCCGCGCACAGCTCCCCGAGCCTCTGCGCCTCCGCCTCGACGCGCAGCAGGGTGCCCTCGGAGCGCGCGCCCCTCGGGATCTGGACCAAGACGTGCCTGCCCGCCTGCATGAGGTCGAAGCGCTCGCCGAGGATGTTCTGCAGATGGGGGTCGCCGGTGCCCGCGACGGCGCCCATACTGGCCCCAATGATCACGGGGACCGGCGTGGGAGCACTGGTGACTCCCGCAGTCGAGCCCGCGGCGCCGACGGAGGGAGCCGTCAGCGTAGGGGCCACGGTGACAACAGGCTCACCACTCCAGTCAGCAGCAGCCATTGCCATGTTCGTCTCGGCCTCAACGGCGGCAGACATTCCAGCAATCGCGGCAGTGAGGGATGCGGCGCTGTTGCTGCCAGCGATCTGCACCGTGAACTTCGTCGTCACGGTGACGTGTGAGTCCTGCGAGAGCTGACGGGCGGCAAACGGGATCCGATCGGGATGACTCGTGATGGCGAAACCCGTGATTTCAATGTCGGAAAGAGACGCGTTCAGAGCGTTAGCCAGACCCGTCTTTTTAGCGGCCACATATGTAGTGGAACTCATGAGGTCCTCTGCAGTCACACCGTCTGGAAGAGTTTCCTCCGTGGTGTACTCGCCAGCGACCCGTGCGTAACTGGACAAGTCCGCCGACCCCTGCTTGCCCGGGGTGAGAAGGCGTGCGAGATGATTGGCTGTCTCCCTCCCCCTGTCCCCTTCCCCCAGGGTCTAGTCTTCTGTAAACGGGGGGAGCTGGGAGGAGGAGGAGGGAGGAGGAGGGAGGAGGAGGGAGGAGGAGGGAGGAGGAGGGAGGAGGAGGGAGGAGGAGGGAGGAGGAGGGAGGAGGGAGGAGGGGGGGGAGCCGGGGGCGGGGCAGGCTCGCAGGCGCACGCCCAGAGATGCTGGAGCTTCCAAAAATGCCCTCCGCGGCCCTACAGACGTTCCAAAGCGGTCCCGAACTCGCGGAACGCTTGGCCCAAGGCGCTTGCAGTGGCTCCAAGACGCCCCAAGACGCCCTCGAGACGCCCCCAGGAGCCTTCCCAGTGGGGCACCGAGAGGCAAACATCAATGACTGTCCTTCTTTGATGTCTGATTGTTTCTGGGGTTACCGTCGTCTCGTGCTTCCGACGCCACAAGAGTCCCGTAGACCACCCAAGAACTGCCCAACAGGCCCCTACGAGGGCCCCAGGACGACCCAAGAGGGTTCCAAGACGGCCCACAAAGGGGCCCAAGACGGCCAAGGATCGCCCCAAGAGGGCCGCCGGAGAGGCGAAGAGGGAGAACGCGAACCGAACCTCAGATCTTTCCCCCCAAAGAGCCCCCAAGCGGCCCAAAAGAGGCCCCCATTAAGCCCCAAAACAGGCCCCCGAGAAGCCAGAAAGAGGCCCCCCAACGGGCCCCAAGACGCTCCAAAACTGCCTCCAAGAGGCTCCGCCAGGCCCCCAAACAGCTCCCAACACGCCCACAAAAGTCCCCAGATAAGGCCAAGAGGCCCACGACGCCTCAACCGTGAACTCCCCGCCTCTTCTGGGGGTCGGCGGAATGGCGTAAGCCTCTCGAATAACTGCCCGTTTCATTCGAGCACGTGAGACCAAATGCCCTGTAGTAGAGCCAGGTTGACTTCTCTGTGCTGCAACCACATAGGCCGCCGTGCCAGCAACCATTGCAATCGGTGCACTTAGAACCCGCGAGATCGAAATAGCCACAACCATCCTCACAGCTGCAGCATCCAGCAGCTTTGCGCGCTTCTGTGCAATCCCAACAATTGCAACCACAAGGTGGGCTCGGGCATCCGCATGTTTTCTGCGCTTCCGAAAGTGTCGGGCTTGGCGTCGGGCTTGGCGTCGAGCTCTGGGCCGCAGACTGCGTGACGCCAGGTGGCAATGGTGTCGGGCTTGGCGTCGGGCTTGGCGTTGGATTTGGCGTCGGTGACGTGTAGTGGTAGGGCAGGTAGCTGCCTCTATCACTCGAGCAAGTGAGACCGAACACCTCGTAATAGGGCCAAGTAACCGAATCTGTGCTACAACCACACTTGCCATTGCGCCAACAACCATTGCAACCGTCGCACACGGAAGAAACCGTGTCTGCATAACCGCAACTCGAAGCAGTCCCGCAGCTGCAGCATCCAGCAGCTTGACGCTCTTGTGTGCAGTCCCAGCAGTTGCAGCCACAGGGGGGGCTGGAGCAGCTGCAAATACCCGATCATGCAAGATCCCCCAGCGGGGGGTAGGTGGGTGCAGATGTCGGGATCGGCGTTGGGAATGTCGTCGGGCTTGGCGTCGGACTTGGCGTTGGATATGCAGTCGGGGTTGCCGTCGGGGTAGCCGTCGGGCTCGCCGTCGGGCTTGGCGTCGGGCTCGCCGTCGGGCTCTCCGTCGGGCTTGGCGTTGGAAACGGCGTCGGGTATAACGTCGGGCTTGGAGTCGGGCTGTGCGTCGGGTTTGGCGTTGGATACTTCGTCGGATAGGGCGTCGGACCTGGCGTCGGATAGGGCGTCGGGTCTGGCGTCGGGTAGGCCGTCGGGAAGGACGTTGGGCGGGGGGTCGGGTAGGACGTCGGACTGTACGTCGATGCGCCATACCCGTACACGTCCACTACGATGCTGCCACCATTGTCAGCAAGCGACACTCCCCGGGAAGGCTCCATCCAAGTGGCGAGGATCCGATCGCCGCTAGACAGCGCAAAATTGATATTGCAAGTGATCGTGTACCCAGATACTGTGCACTGGGACGGCAGCGTGCCCCACTGGCTTTGTGACACGATGTACCCTCCATTCTTCATGAATTCGAAGGACCCAGTGTAACCACAGCAGCACTGCTGCCACACGGTGCCTCCCGATCTCCTCGTATCGCACCAGATGCCGGATCCGCCAACGTAAGTTGCTCGCAACTGCGTGAACGAACCATATGCCATAGGTGTAACATATGAGGGCAGAGCGACGCCGTAATATTCGAAGTTGTCCAACAGCTGCACCCATGAATCCGCCAAAGCTGGCGTCGGATGGGGGGTCGGGTCTGGCGTCGGATACGGCGTCGGGTACGGCGTCGGATACGAAGTAGGGCTTCTCGTCGGATACTGTGTCGGAAACGACGTCGGGCTTGGCGTCGGGCTTGGCGTCGGAGAATGTGTGGCGCCGGGTGGCAGAGGCGTCGGGCTTGGCGTCGGGCTTGGCGTCGGATGCGGCGTCGGGCTTCGCGTCGGATGCGGCGTCGGGCTTGGCGTCGGATATGTTGTCGGGCTTGGCGTCGGAGACGGCGTGAAGGCCGAGCACACATAGCCGAGCAACATGTGCCCATCGTTGCAGGTCTCACACTGGTCTCTCACAACTCGGTCCTGCGGCGTGACACAAGTCTTGCAGGCCGCTCCGCTCCCAGTCTCGCAAGTCAGCATCTGATGCCGGTAGGTCACGAACTGCGCAGACCCCTGGCTGGCTCTGGTTCCAACCGCTGCGGAGCAAGCCCCAGAAGACATCGCATTGGCCGGCATGCAGGCGCAAGTGCTCCCCGGGATGCCGGAGCCGTCGTTCGGCGAGTCGGAGTACAAATACTCACAATAATTCCCAGCCGCCTCCCACTGCGTCACAAGGGCGAAACACTGGGCGAGGCTCACCGCACCCCAGGAGGCTCCCGCCATCGCCTGGCCCACAGCGCAGTTGAACTTCTGAGCCATGTTGGAGAGTCCCGTGACCCATGCAGGCTCCGATCCGAAATCGTCACAAGTGAAACAGAAATTCTTCGTGACGGAGATGGCGATCCTGCCCGCAAGATCACCGGCACTCCTGTTGATGCTGGACCTCTCGAGCGAGCCGTTGCGGGCCCTCTCGAGGATCGGCTTGGGGTCTGGGAACTTGCTCTTGACGTCTTCGCCAAAGCTGGGGTCGGACGTAGCCCCAGAGAGGAGGCGCAGCGCCGGCAGCAGCGACGTCTTGTTGAACTCCCCCTCCGACAGGCGAGGGGGAGGGGCTGGTTGGGGCCAGAGTTTGAGCGAGAACGAGTAGCCAAACTCGAGCTTCGGCTGTGGATAGAGGGGCAGAGAAACCGTCCCCGAGAAAATATCGAACGCCAGGATGCCGTTCAGAGACGACTCCCAATACGACCACTCCGTGCTGGAGGGCCCCGCCGTACAACTGATACTGAAGAACGCAGAGGCACTTGGCGTCCACGTGTACGGCGAACCGAAGATGGAAATTCTGCCCGTAGCAAAACCGACAATCTTGGCCGCGAATCTTCCACTGAGACATCCTGCCTGGGCCTTGATTCCAAGGACTGCGTATCCGAACTGGAGGTCGACGCCCAATGTGACGGTAAAGTCGCCTTCGTCACAGAACACTGCTTCCAACCTCGTCTGAAGATTGGTGAGGAGGTTGTCACCTACAATGATGAGGTCATCGAGCATCCGTCCTGAAGATATGTACCTGAACACGCCAATGACTCCTTTGGCAGCAGTTTGGACAAAGCTTGGCGCACACCACGAGCCCCCTGTCCAATCAACGTTCAGGAAAGGAGTGGGGATGCCGAAACTAAGCCCCGGGAGGCTCGTCGTCTTGGTAAGGCAATTCGTGAACTTCGCAACGGTATCCGCGAAACGCTGGGCCATCCCGAACACGTCAAGCACGTCCCAAATAGTCATGCTGCTGACGAAATCGAAGGCGCCGCAGTCAGTGAATTCGGCGGTGGGAGCTGAGTTCCAACAGAAGTCGATGCTCACGGCCGCTGCTTCTGAGTAGATCCCGTTCACGACCCTCTCTCCGAAATCCCACAAAGCCTCGAAAACTGTAGTAGCAATTATCGCTTCCGGGGGAAATAGAGCCGCCCTGATGCCGTCGGCGATGTTCGGCAGACAGCGAAGGTTTGCCATGACCATGTTCTCGAGCACGTCCAACAATAACGAGAATCCGCATTCCAAGAATGAGAGAGCGTTGCTCGCCCCCTCCGAAACGCAATCCCAAACGCCAGAACAGCTTGTGGGGATGAGATCGAAACCGCACATGTTACCGACCGCATCGTTGACGGCGTCCACCACAGCTGACAGACACTCTCCGAAACTCATGAGCACATTTACTACAGTGTCGACCACGCATGTGTACACGTACTCCACTGCTTCGGTGAAACATGACCACACGCAATTGGTGACACAACTCACAGTGCAAACAACCACATCGACGACCGTGTCTACCACATCCTCGACGACGCTCCACCAACGACGCCGACGCCTCCCGCCCCAGAATTCAAGCTCTTGGGACGTTCGCGCAACGGCGCTCGAATCTCGGGAAACTCGTGCAACCGAGCTCGAATTGGTATGCGACAACCTCTGGCAACTGGAACAACTGTTGCTGCAAGCGTTCCCACAATTGTTTACCCATTGTGTTTCCGAGCACGTGCTGGGAAGTGAGAAGATGCTTTCGAAGGTGCACGAGGGTCCACGCAACGCCTTCTGGGATGCAGCTCGTTGTGCAGGCTGAGAAGTTGTGGCGAGCCACTCGTCGAGGGTCAGGAACGCATTCCCACGGGCGCTGTGCTTCGTCACAAACTCCTGTACCGAAGCCCTGGGAAGTAAGACGCTGTCAAAAGGTGCGTTGAGCGTGCCGTTTGCTGCTTCGATCGCGACGAGGTCCTGTCCGATCAGGTTTCCCACTAGCTCGTCCACGTCAAGGGTCGAAGACTGATCCTTGTCGAGCTCGACAAACTTTTTCTCGAGAAAGAGCAGCTGCTCATCTGAAGACAGATTTTTCCACGCGTGTATGACCGTAAGCGCCCCTTTGGTGACCACGTACTCATGGGAGTGACAAGGGGTTACCTCATGCTTTGGGAACCCTGGCCCGCAGTGCCCACACTCGTCGACGTAGGCAGCATCGGAGCAGAATTGGCACTGGCTGCAGCTGTCGCACGTACCATCGTAGCAGAATTCCTGATCCTGGCAATCAGAATGATCTTGGCAATGCACCGCGTCGGGCTCTGGATCGGGCCCCTCGGTGCACGTGGCGCAGCACACTGCCAGAACTTGGCTCGACAAGTTCGAGTCCGCACAGTACGGCCCGACATCCGAGCAACCACTGACGTCATCCACACGTGCATGATCTCTTGCAAGTTGTACGGCGCCTGCATCGTTATCAACACAACCAGGCAATCCGCGCGCTGGCATGCGGGAGCCGTGGTCGAAGACATGGGTCTGGATCAGATGCACGTCAGACGCCGTGCTGTTGGCCACACTCTCCCGACCGCAAGTTGACAGAAGAAGCTGGGCGATCATGACGAAAGGACAATTCCTTGCCGCCATGGGCACTGAATATGCGTATGAACCGAGTGTATGGCTGTCTGCCGTGAGACACTTGTATACGTGAAGGTTGAGCTGATGGCTCTCGCAAAAAGCTCGATCCGAAATGGCTGGGCCTCGTTGGGTTGCAAATGCCTGATCGCTGGTCTCCTTCCCCCCCGCTCGTCCCTCCCCCCCACGCCCCGCCCCCGCGCCCTCCACTAGCCACGGCAAGGGGAGGGGAGGGTACAGGAGGTTGGGCGGGACCAAGAGAGGCGAACAAGGAGGGACGAGGGAGGAGAGATGAGGATGAGGAAGAGGGAGAGAGAGAGGAGGGAGGGAAGAGGATCCGAGAAAAGGAGAAGTGACAATGAAGATGAGGACGATGATGAGGAGGAGGAGGAAGAAGGGGAAGCGGCAATAATGAGGGAACAGAGAAGCAAGGATGCGGAGAACGAGAGCAAGGATGAGAAGGGCGGGGGACGGAGAGATGATGGGGGTGAGCAGGTGCGGAACTTCTCGTGCCCCTCCTCCTCCCCCCTCCAATCCCAACTCCTCCACCTCACGATCCTGAAGGGACCCTGAGTCACGCAAGTAAGTAGACACGAGTCACAGGATTCTCTATACTAGGGCCCCCACTCCAACAACTCCCCCTCCTTCTCCGAGGTGAAGGCGAAGCCCTTCCCTTGGATCCCTTCCCGGGGCGGGGGGGGGAGGTCCCGGGGGGGGGGTCCCGGGGGGTGGTCCAGGGGGGGTTCCCGGGGGGTCCCTGAGGTAATATGATTGTTTCTTACTAGGGCCCCCACTCCAACAGCTCCCCCTCCTTCTTCTTATCTCCTCCCCCCTCCCCCGCGCAAAGGATCCAGAAGTGGCCACTGGAGGAGGAGGAAGAGGAGAGAGGAGAGAGGAGGAGGAGGAGGAGGAGGAGGAGGAGGAGGAGGAGGAGGAGGAGGAGGAGAACAAGGCCTCGGCTGCCCCGCGATGCGCGGGCCACGTCAGCCAGGACCCAGGACTTTCCTCTTTCCTCTGATCGCCCAGGAGGCTTTTATCCCCTTCCCCCCTCCTCCTGTCCTGGCCATGGTGTCTGCAGCTCAGCTGCCTCCGCACCCCGATACCCTCGCCCCACGCAGCTGGTCATACGGCGGCGCGGCTGCTGGTACCATCTGGGGCGGGGGTGTCGTGGTACGGATGTCTCCCTGGCGTTCTAGGCTCCCGACCCCAGCCTCCTGGCCCCCCTCGTCCTTCGGCCAGGCAGCCTTCCATCCTCTCCCCCTGGGTGTCGGGCCTCTTGCCCTTGCCCGCGCCCTGTGCCGCCCCTTCCCCCCACCTCTCTCGAGGGCCCTGGAGGCATCCTTCCTCTGCCCCCCCCCCCCCTTCCGCCCTTGCGCTCTTTTTTGGGCCCTGGGGCTCTGGAGCGGCCGTCGGGCCCTCGCGCTCCTCTGGCCCTCGTCGGGCCTCCTCGGCCCTCGCTCTTGCTTTGGCCTCTGGAGGCCCTCCCGGAGGAAATCTGTGCGCGGCCGCGGCGGGCCTGCCGCGCGCCGCCGTCGCGGCAACGACCGCAACCCCCGCCTGGGCGGCACAAGCCGCCTAGGCATCGGCCGCGTCGCGGGAGCGACATTGGACTGCGCTCGAAAGGATCGAAAGGAGAACAAGGAGGGGGAGGAGGAGCAGAAGGAAAAGCAGCAAGGGCTCCTCCTCCTCCTCCTCCTCCTCCTCCTCCTTTACCTCCACCCCTCCTCCCCCTCGTCTTCTTTACCTCCTCCTCCTCATCATCATCATCATCCTCCTCGTCCTCCTCCTCTTCATCCTCCTCTTCCTCCTCCTCGTCATCCTCATTCTCCTCCTCCTCCTCATCTTCCTCCTCCTCCTCCTCCCTCTTCCTCCTCCTCCTCCTCCTCCTCCTCCTCCTCCTCCTCATGTTCTGGGGGGCTCTCGTCTTCCCCCTATTTTCTGGGTTTTCGTGTGCCGAAATGCGGCGGCGCCGCCATGCGAACGCTGGCATTTGGGCCCTAGTTGGGTTTTCCCTATGGGTGAACGAAATGCGCGAGGAGTGTGACGCGGAGAGCAGAGACGGGAGGGTGAGGAGGACGAGAGAACGAGGAGAGGATGTGGGCGCAGTCCCTTCAGAACACGGACCCAGCAACACAGGATGGTTTGGAGAACAACTACTTTCACACACTCGCCTTTCTGGTTTGAAGAGCGTCTAGTGGGGCCCAAGAGGCGCCAAAAAGAGCCCCAATAGAGCCCCCGAGGCCCGAGGCCTTCAAGCGGGAAGCAAGATGCCCCCACGAGGGCCCCAAGATGGGCCCAAGAGGGAACTCGAACTGCCACTCGGAACCCCCCACCTGAGCAAGGCCCAAAGCACGCAGGTCCCCGCAAGGCTCCCGGGAAGCCCCCCGAAGGAACCCAAGACGCCTCAAAGAGGCTTTCAAGGTCCCCGAGAGGCCTCCCGCGACCCCTGTCCACAACCCAGGCAAAGTCGCAGGATAGGCCGACGGCCACTACATACCTGCACCCGACTTCCACTCTGTCGCCATCGCACCGCCACTCGATTAGAATGCCTCAATTATCATTCCACTGATCTTACCGCCACCGTACTACCACTCTGCTGAGGACACAACAAGCCATCCCAAATCCGCTGACCCTGTCGGCGTGTGCGAGGGGCTTCCTCGTTCGAATCGTTGTCGTCGTCTCCTCGCCGTCTCCGTCGTCGTCAGTCGTCTCCTCGCTTTTTCCGCCGTCCCTTCTCTCTTTCCCTGGGCCCTCCTTCAACGCCGTTGCAGACTCGAAGGGAAGCTCCTTCCCTTTGATCCCTTCCCCGCGCGGGGGGGAGGGGGGCCCGGGGGGAAGGGGGGGTTCCCCGGGGGGGGGGGGGTCGCCACCCAGATTCGTGTTCCTCCGGGCGGCCCAGACACCTCCAACAGTCCCAGAATGAGCCCAGAATGCCACATACGGCGCACAATACGGCCAAGAGAGCCCCGACTCGCTCCAAGATCGCCTCAATACGCCACAGATGGCCCCGAGACGGTCCAAGAAGCCTCCCAGACGTCCCAGGGAGCCTCCGAGAGCACCCCCAAGAAGTCCCGACATGCTACATCCATGGATTTCCCATACGAACACGTACACTTTCAGCATTTACGACTTTTCGGCCTTCACCGCGGTCACTTCGGTCCAAGACGCCCCGAAGACAGCCCCAAGACGGCTCAATAAGCTCCCAACGGTCGCCCAAGACGGCCCAAGAGGGCGACCAGACGGCCCAAGAGATTCCCAAGACAGCCCAAGAGGGCCTTCAGAAGGGCTCAAGAAGGGGAACCCGAAACGACAATTCGAGCCTGGCGCCCCAAAGAAGCTTTCAGGAGGGCCCTGACGCCCCCAAGAGGCCCAAGGAGACCCCCAAGACGTTCCCAAGAGGCTCCAATAGGCCCCTAAAAGGTCCCGAAACGACTCGCTCCTCATTCTCCTCCTCCTCCTCCTCCTCCTCCTCCTCCTCCTCCTCCTCTCCTCCTCCTCTCCTCCTTCTCCTCCTCCTCCTCCTCTTCGCGCGATCCCGAGCCCCATCCCCCCCCCCCCCTCTTCCCTCATCCGCCTCCTCCACCCTTCCTCCTCCTCGCACTCCTCCTCTTCCTCCTCCCCCCCCGACTTCATCTTCGTCGTCTTCAGGGTCGGCGGCACCGGCCGCTAGGCCTTCGCAATCGATACCATTCTTGGATCATCGGTACAGCCGCCATCTCTCGCGCCGATGCAGCGCGCACCTCACAATCCTTACACGTAGACCACGCGATCGTAACACACACACACGAGACCCCTATCCCAGAATATTCGGGACACTATCGGAACGCTTCTGCAAAAACATCGGCACACCATCGCAAACTAGACGGGACACCATCGGGACACCAACTGGCACACCATCCAGACACCGCGGGGGGCCACCAACCACCTGATCGCCCGCAGCACGGAGGAGCAAGACGACACACCTCTTCTGTGAGCCCCGAGATGGCAAGTAGCGACCGACTGGTGCGCAGCCGCACGGGTCATTGATCCTCAGGACGTGTCTTGATTCCAACGTGTGTTTGTCCACTTGTCCACCGATGCCCTTCATCACGACGCAGGCGGTGTAATGAGGACCGGGGCGCGTGGCGTGCCATCGGGGGAGCTGAGCGGGGAAGACCGACTTTGGGCTCACACACGGCGTGAAAATCATCGAATAGCGACAACAGGCACAACCTCCCCGTCGGGACGGCCCCGCATCTAACAGACGACGCGCATGGGCCCAAGCGGTGGGGCGAGAGAAGGACAAGGACGGCGGGAGAGGCGGACGAGGGAGGAAGAGGAAAAACAGGAACATGAGATAGCGAGAGGGCGCGACAAAGAAAGACGGAACGAGACGGGGGGTCGGACGCTGGAGCAAGCCTTCCCGCTGCTCTGGCAGGTCTCCTCCTCGCCAGAAGCGGCCTGCGACTTCTCGCTGAAGCACGCCTGCACCTGCGTGGTCTGCCGTGCCGGTCTGTCGTTCCGTGCGATGCGCTGTGTCCGTGTGTCGCGCGCGTGTATTGCATGTCGTGGTTTGTGCCACGCTGTGTGCTGTGCTTTGGCATTGCTCGGACGTGTGCATGTTTTCTCGGCGAAGACCTTGATCACTTGGCGAAAAAGCACGCACGAAACCGAAACAAAACACAGGGAATGGACGTCCGAGCGATGGCGAGTATGGCGTGTGCTCTGTGCGGGAGGGTTGGGCGTGTCGTGTGTCGTGGGCACTGCCGTGATGGGCGCGCGGCAGGGAGGGGCGCACGGTGAGCGCGGGCCGGGCGGGGGCGGTGGTAGACGGGGAGGCACGCGGTACGCGCGCGTGTTGGTGCGTCATGTGTGCCAAGGCGTTTGCTGTGTCTGTTGTGTCGCGTCGTGTGTTGCTTGGCACGTGCGTTGTGTGCATCGTGTGTGTGTGTGTTGTGCGCTGTGTGCTACGTGCCGTGTGTGGTATGTTTTCTAGTTTGCCTTATGTGGTGTGTGATGTGTAAAGTGTGTTCTGATTGTGTATATGATGATTTTCCAATCACCTGCTATGCAATTCCCGCGAGGCTCGCGGGCCGTTATGTTCTGTTCGCGCGGCGGCTCCGAAGGAGCCAGGCACGATAGCAAGAGAACTAAAAGGCCGGCCTGGGAGCCAAACGCGGCGACGGGCACAGGGCACAGGGCACGGAGACAGGCAGGGAAAAGGAAATAGAGAGCGAGGCTAAGGCCGGCGGGCGCTCGAAGGGCTCGAGGAGGCAAGCTGACTCACTGGGCCCATCGAGGGGCTCACTTGATCTCCCCAGGGGAATCTCAGACTCATTATTTGCACGATTTGGCCTCGAACGTCTCGACTTCCACCAACTCGTCAAACCGAACTCCTCCAGCTGTTCTTTCACGTCTCTCACGATGCTCCTCGTTTCGATTGGGTTTCTCGGACTTTCGAGCTGCTCGCAGTGATCTCTTCTTCTCCTTGATTTTCAAAGCCGTAGAGTCCTGCTGAATTGTAATCTCGTTGTTCCGCAGGAAATGTCTAAACTACGCCCTCCTTCGCAAGAATATCTGGAAGATTCTGCACGCCGCCAACCCATCGCAACACAGTATTTGGCTGCCACAAGGCCTCCTTAAGCAAACCACATTCAATCGCCATTCGTTTATCACGGCTCAATCCAGACCCTTCTTTGGTGAGATAGTCATAAACTGATCTAGCATATGTCAAAAACAATCTCGTTCGCTGCGCAACAATACTCTGCCAGTTCTTCAAATCCAGTCTCGATGATAAAACTTCTTCGAGTAAAACACATAACCGCTCACCAGCTTACAGATAAGCAGACGCATGAGCAACCTGAGCCGCCAAAGTACTCCTGCAAACTCGTCGCGTCGACTTCGGACAGTAGTCTAACATCGCTGCCTTGACCAACTTCCCGCTAAGAACATCCTTCTCTGCAGTAAATACCAGATGTCCGCCAATGCTCTTGCACCGACTGGTCTCGTCATTTTCTGGATTGCCATTTGCGCGACCTGAGTCGCACATGATGACTGCCACGGACTCCTTCAAGTTAATCCCACTCGGAAACTTCTGAATGTAGTCTGCGCCTCGCTTCCCGTCGTTAATCGCCTTGTTGACTTTCGCCAAGTCCGCGACGCATAGCGCCACCATGGCACGTTGAGCTTGTCCTGCTTGAAACGCTAGATATGCTCGCAATTCTCTGGCCAACCAAACTATCTCCCCAGTCGCCTTCCGCAGGGATGTCACTTCCAAAACATTGAGCGGGCTGGCCAACTCCTTCTTCCGACCCCTCTGAATCGCCACTCCCTTCGCATTGAGACTGTAGCCCTTCGTCATTACTCCCGCGTCACCATTCGACATTCGCTTGATCTGTCGACCTCTGAAAACAAAATCATACTTCTGCCACTTAGAGAAATTCCGCTTTTCGCGCATGTGCATGAAGGCCACCATCTCATATGCTGCAAGAGTCCCAGCAGAAAATCATCAACACGAACGCAACTAATCCCAACCAGTTTACCACGCATATATCTGGAATCCAACGAAGCTGGTTCCACAACTGATTGAGCCCAGCCATCCTTCTCCAAGACCTCACAGAAAACCAGCCAACAAAAACGTGCCGCCTCTGCGAGCCCGTAGATCGCCTTCTTCGCCTTCAGTAGCTGTCTGGGGCGAAGTCCAGGAAGCCCACCTCGGGGCTGACTGATGCAAACTTCGCGTCCAATCCCGCGTCCCGAGAAATAGGCGTTCTTGGCGTCGCCACAACTCACGATCATGCTGGTACTCGCGATTACCTAGATAACAACTGCCTTCGCCAGCTTCGAAGCTGTCGGTGCGTGTCTCCGGTATTCTCCAAGACTCTTGTCCTTGAAACCTTGAACCGCCATCCTTGACTTTGCCTCAAAACCGCCGTCCACAGAGACTTCGCTCTTGTTCGTCCTGACCCACTTGGCTGGAATGAGGAGGTCGCTCTTAGTCTCCCAGATCTGATCGCTGCCCTCTCGCATGCGTCCAGGTCCTGCCGTGACTTCCACTCCTTTTCGTCGGATCCGCCAGGCCCTGTGAATAGCTTCCGCGGCTCCTCGCCGAGCTCCTTCAACCTGAGCTCTTTCCTGCCCTTCTTTGCGGTGGCCTGGCCGACCTGGCAAGCATACTCGAGCTCGTTCCTCTCCACCCCGACGCCTAGCACCTCCTTGCTGATGCCACGCTCCTCGTGGAAAGTCCGATTGCTCTCGTACGTCACGTAGGCCGCCTCCATCATGCTGTCGCGCTTCTGTCGTAGACACTGAACGCCTCCTCCTGATGCCTGTGGCTGTCCCGAATCGAATGAGGCACGTCATCGGATAGTCGTTGGCGTTTGGCTTCTCGTTCTCCAGCCTCGTCTGCCGATCTCGCGATCATCGAGTGGTTCACCGCGTCTGGGTACATAATGATAATCATGTAGATCTGGATCCCAATCGTCCCCCATCGGCACATCATCCGGTCGAAGTGTCTCCTTCACACAATTCTTCACTGCCTCTTCCTGCTCATTCTGCTGCGTTGGTTCTCGTACTGCTGGCTCTTCTGGCACAGGTGGCCCGTCCTGCCGCAGTGTTTCCGGGGCCTCCTCTCGCGATGGCTCCGGTGACTGTAACACTGGGACCTCCTCCTTCTCGCTGGGCTTGGGCACCTCTGGCGGCGGCGCCTCTGGCGGTGGCTGCGCCACCGCGGGCTTCAGGCTGTAGTTGAACCCCATCCTGTCGAAAATCAAATGGAACTGGTCGCCTTCGTAGGTCAATGAAGCCGCTGCCGCCTGCGACCCCAGTGGCGTCGATCAGGTCCGCCTCCTGCGCCGTCGCGAGCCATGCCCTGACCTCCTCGTCGGATGCCTTAGCGAGGTGTTCTGGTGCACACGCGATAATGATGCCTCGATGCACGATCCAGATGGTGCGCTGGCCCTCGTGTCCGATGACTCTCGCAACTCCTCTCCAGTTGATGGCGCTCTCGGGCCCCCTTCCTTGCTCCCGCTGGTCGTAATAGAACACCCAGTAGCCAACATTGATAGGTCCTCGCTCTGGTCGTACATGTCAAAGTTCTGCTCGCTTGATGGCGTCGTCATTCGCAGCCCTCGCATGTCCTTCCCGTGCTCCTTGGCGTAGTGCAACTTTCCTTGCAAATTTTGATGCTGGCGTCGCCGACGCTGCCGCGGCCCCCATGCGCTGCGCCTCGCCGTCGTCAATGAGATCCGCCGGTAGCCGAATGTCTCGACCGAGCAACCACTGCGAAGGTGAGAAGCCTGATCTCCTACTCAACGAGTTCTTCGCCTGGTTGATCTCGATCGCTGCCTTCCAGACGCCCTCGCGACCTGCAACCTGCTTCGCCCAAACGACTCTCCTCTTCATGGCCTGCCAGAGATCCCCATGGCGCCCCACCTTGGCGACGCGCCACGCTGCCGCCTTGGCGGCCGAGTCGAACCGGCAGCCGCGACTCGCAATGTGCTCGGAAAAACTGCCCAGGAAACTCTTGGCTCTGTCCACGATGACTCCAACTTCAGGTTCGCCTGCCCATGATGCCCAACACAAATCGTAGGTCTCCAGGATAGCACTTGAACTCGCCACCATGTGAACTTCTCCGAGTAGAGCAACGACTTGAAAAGAACAGCCCGAACAAAGTATGTTGAGAAGCTGCCATCCGGCTTGATCGGCGTCCTTTTCGGCAAAGGTGTCGAAGCCGACCACGACGTTGAACTCATCCACTGTGGGTAACTTACTCGGACTCGCAAGTGCTGGTCGTCTGGTTAGTTCACGACGTTCGCAATGAAACAGCCTGCATGCTTTGATTGCCGCATCCGACGCTCTCGAAAGCCTTCTGACCGCCACCTTGAGCTCTCGCGGTAGCTGATCCCGTCGCTGTTGCCTGATCGTCTCCATGTCCTTCTCTTCGCCCTCCGCCTCGCCGATCTGCGCGCCGTGCACCGTGATGAGGATATCCGCACCTGCGGTCTTCATGACTCTTTGTTGCGGTGACAAGCTTGCCCAGTCTTCCCATCCGAGCCCCTGCCGGCGCCCTCGTTCACTCCGAGCGTAGGTTGCACGAAGGGGGTGCTTGAGACGCGTGGAGATGAGGCTGCGCTGCCAGTAGCGCGCGGGGGTTGCGTCTGATCATCGCCAGCTTGACTGTCGCGCTCATCTTCTTCAGCTCGTGAACCTTCCATTATCCAAAGTTCTCGGTCGAAGCGCTGCCCTCATCATCTCGCGTCTTCGTCGTAGTCCCTGGTGTGGTAGCCGTCGTTTTCACGCTCGCCATCAACCTCTTCGTCGCCATTGCCCTCGTAGAACGAGTCGCTGTCGTCCTTCTCGTCGCGGCCGCGCGGCCCTGACTCGCCGTTGACCGCGAGGGCGCCCGCGTAGACCTCGTCCATGCCGACGTCGTCGTCATCGTTCTCGTCCAGCGTGGAGAACGCGTGCTTCGGCTTCCCGGGCTTCGCTTT